ATGAAGAGATTCTTGCTTGACCCTACCCGTGAGCAGGCCACATAGAGTTGGCCATGCGAAAAGCAAGGAGTGCTTAAGTCAACACCTGCCACCTTGAGTGACTGGCCTTGTGCCTTGTTGATGGTCATGGCAAAGGACAGCCGGACAGGGAACTGGAGTCTCATGAACTCATATGGCACATCAGTGGGGATGATGGGGATGCGAGGAATGAAGACATCCCCACCTTTGGCACACCCAGTCATGATCCTTGCCTCGATGACATGAGGATGAAGGTTTTTCACACAGTCGTGTGCCATTGCAGAGTCTTGGAGGATCAAGGTTCCTCAGCAACATGATGGGAGTGTTCACCTTCAGGATCAAGTTCTGAGGTGGCATCCCCGGTGGTTGCAAAGAGTTCAGGAACTCTGTCGGGTAGTGTACTGCTTGGTCAGTTTCAACGGTGGTGTCGATGGACTTGTAGCACCTTTCTTGACCAGGCAGTTGTCTCAGGATGCGGTTGTTGATGTCATCAACTGCGTCATTCTTAGGTGCCAGAATGGCTCTTTCACTGAGCCACTTTAGGCAAGTGGCTGGGCTCTGGAAGTGCTGAGGCAGGTTGGGGAAGACATTCTGCAGGAGCTCTGTCATCGTCTTGACTACTATAGCAATTTGGGCAGGGATGATGAGCTGCCCATCTGGCTCGACAGGATGGTCTGAATTGCCAAGTCTCAACAGAGCAGATGAGAAGGCCCCTGCATCAGTGTCGCCAAAAAGCCGCACTCGCTGATTGGTGGTGAGGCTCAGCTTTCTGACGTTGGTCCACAGGGAAGACTTCTTCAGACATGCCTTTATCTCATCTGCTGCAGTTCCCCTTGGAATGACTGGCAATGTCTGTCGGAAGTCTCCCGAGAGAACCAACGTCACCCCACCCATGCACTGGGTCTTGCAGAGTGCGGTCTAGTGCCTCGAATGCAGCTTTGTGGGACATTGGTTCAACTTACATTTCCAGACCAGTACTTGGTAAGAAGGTTCAGTGCCAATAAGAGACACGGAATTCCCCTCATTTTGATGCCTAGCCACTTGTTTCCAGACCTGAATAGGAGACGACAGTTATAAACAAATAGGTTGAGAATCGCTGTTAAGTGGCGTTCCCAGATTTACATTTTACCTGAATTAAGGTCCAACCTAATAAATAAAAAAGTCAGAAGTACCTAAATGCAAAAAAAATTGCAGAAGTGTTCAAATAGATTTTTTCTGCCTTCTTTCGAAGAGTTGCTAAGAAAAATGGAACTTGCATTCAAACAGTTTTTCTAAGTTGCAGAAAGTTCTCATCATTGTACCTTTGGGCACGACACTGTTTTGGCACATATCCGTGGGACATCTTTCCATTAGGTGAAAACTGCCAAGTGCTTATGTTTCAATATGAAAATGCATTAGACACAAGAATCTGCATCTGTTTCGTGAAGAAAACTCATAATTTATGGGATACGTTTCCCGTACGAAACACAATAAATCCTTGCGAACCTCGTCTGCGATTCCTTGTCGTGAATTCTTAATGAACCACCATCCTTCACAGAAAGAATACCCCAACTTCGACTCCTGAGACACAAAGCACCTAGTTCCTATCCCTGACCCGATATTTTCAACTATTCACGGGAAACTCTTGGATTGTTCTCGACACTCGCGAGATAGCTGCATCACGGAGACTAGAAGGCTATCTCTAGATGACGTGTCCTCAAGCTTGGATGTTTATACCTCAGAATGAAACAGGACCCAGCCCTACGTCCCCAAAACGAAAGGGTAAGCATTTCATACTGGCTTGTTTGTTTGCCCTTCGGGCAAACAAATTCGCTATGTACGCGCCTTCAGTGCTCCTTTGACCAGGATTGTGATTCTTTTTTTTTCCCAAAGCGGCAAAAACCTATTAAAATTAAAGTTCCAGGATCCGACATCTATCTCATTTATTTGAACTAAAAGTTTCCCACAGAATAAGCGAGATGGCAGGTATCAAGCGTCCCCGGCAGCATACCCACGTTGGGTCTTCGTCGGAATTTCACGTTTTTCATGTGGGTCCAATGTCAGTCCCACCCAGGACCGACCTCATAATACACGTGCCTCGTGTGGCCCCGCTCACGGCGCAAATTCACCAGGCGTGCCAAAACGTGACTGAATGTATGAAGTAATAAATACCTGTAGATGCCACCCTCAGTTCACTTGAGAGCGTGGAAATGCCTTCTTTTTCGGCCTCATTTTGGACTCTAGGGATTGGCTCTTCTCCCTTCTGGGGGGAGGGGGGAGGGGTGAGGGCAATGTTGAGAGTCTCTTTGCACAGGGCGCTGAAATAGCTACCCCAGTAGCAGCAGATAAAGGCCCAATGCTGGACCGACATTGGGTACCTTGGCTATACAGTATATTGGGCAATATTGCCAATACTGGGTGAATGTTGGGGAAACAATGAAATTCCGATATTGCCAAATCATTATTGATCCAATGTGCCCGAAGGCACTTGATGCTATCCTTCAGGCCACTAGATGGAGGAATAGGCCTCGCTTTTCTCACTGTACACAGAAGTACCCTTCCCTCTTTCCCTGTAATCTTCTTTCACAGGAATGTTTAGTACTTAGCTAGCTTACTTATGTCTCCGCCTAGTCTCATTATAGCAATTAATCAAGTCACACAATTCATCATTTATAATCCGCATATTCGAGACAGAATCATGGATTCCAGGAAATAATCAAGCTCATATTCTCTATGAGAGCCCCTATGAACACGTTTTTACTCCACACCTGATAAGGCCCATCCGTCCAGCTGGATCTACAAACGCCTTTTGATCTTTGGGGCATCTGCCCTTAACCCGGATAGGATGTAAATATAATATCGACCTAAACAAAATCACATATTATTGACTCACGAAGTAAAACTGTTAGGACCCTATAGATTTTATTCTTCTTCGGCTCAGGTGGACCGAAATACTAAGCGCCCCAAAACACTGATACTAACCTAAATAAATACAGGTTGCTTTCTCAATAAGGCCGCATAGTTCCTTACTCTTAATTAAACCCCTAAAGATAAAAAAGACATCAAGGGAGAGATCCTGGGGGAGAAGCAGCTCTCTCTCGGGTTGACTTCTCCCCCATAGCCATGAGTCACCTTCTCAGGCATACCATCTGGCCTTTCCCAAAAATGGCTTTTTGACCGGTCCATGAGTGCTTTGTCTTTCTGAACCGGTTAAATACGTATTGCTCTCAATTGAATCGTTTGATTTTCCGTCAGAAAACGCGCACAAAAAAAAGCTATTTCTGAAAAACCATCTGGTACATTCAAATTACGAGGTGCCCAACCTGAGATGCGCAATCTGAGGACAACCATCGAAAAAGGGTCGGTTCGTGAACGGAATTTTCTGCGAAACCATGCCAGTGACCCCGTCATCTACCCTGACACTCGAAGAGGTCCTTGACCCGATATGAACCGGTCGTCCTCGTCCATCGAGTCATAACCAAGAGAATCCAATCCGTAGTCCAATAGAATCACTCTTGCACGCTCGCTCCATAAGCTTCTCAAAGAAATAAGGGCATAACCGAAAATCTCAGAAATCCGTGGAATGAAGATTAGGTGGGATTCATCTCGGACCTGCTCCGGTATCCCTTCATGAAGGTGAACGAAAGCACAGTTCCCCTCGACCCACACATTCCAAGTTCCCGGGTCCCCCCCTCCCCTCCCCTCCCCTCCCCCAGATGAAAACTGATCACTTAGCTACATAATGACCTCCCCTGACATAATCTCCGGCTTCCATGCGTCAACCTTGAGCTGAACCGAAGAATGAAGCTGCCCGACGGATCCCTTATTTCTCTCGTTTGAAGATGTGGATGTTGCCATGACCAAGCATTCCCTACTCATGTACGCCTAAAAGTCATTAAGATATATACATAATTGAAAGATTTCAAGCAATATCAGTTCGATGGAACCCAGTCGGCACAGCCACGTTGTGTCAACGTTGAGAAAAGGTTGAAACGTTGAGACTTGGTTAAAGTTGAGAATCCGACGAAGAATCGACGCGAAATGAATATCCAGCGAAATGCTGGCTATTCGTAATTAACAGTATTTGCAGAATATCGTGACTACTCATGGGTTAACGAAGTCGTTTAATGGCTATTAAGCGCAAATTCATTTTTCATCATACATGGTTTGCGCCTAATAGCCACCAAACGACTTCGTTAACCCACGAGTAGTCACGATATTCTGCTAATACTGTTAATTACGAATAGCCAGCATTTCGCTGATGTCGATTCTTTGTCGGATTCTCAATTTTAACCAAGTCTCAAAGTCTCAACCTTTTCTCAACGTTAACACAATGTGGCTGTGCCGACTGGGAAGGAACCAAATTCAAACCGGATGAAAGAGAAAAAATGGTACACTCGATATATAAATCTTTACACAAGTAACTTCCCATCGCGAGCAGCGGCTTTCGAGACTCTTCGTCGAAGTCGTTTTCGATGCCGCAACTCAAGAAAAGACTAGTCAGTTGCATCATCTCATCCAGAGCTAGGCCGAGTCATACTCGAGTGGTGGTGCAATGCAACACGGCATTCATGAATGGAGGGACCTACTACATCTCTCTTTAAATCTTTAGTTGCGGGAGATCAGCTGATATCCGACAAGAGGGAAGACGTGGTAGGGGCTCACGTGCTCCTCTCCCGCTCTCGCTTCTTGGTGCCTTCTCGGTACGGGTGTTCGCATGGGTAAACGACAGCAGAGTTTCTTCTCGTCTGCCTCAAAACCAGAACAAATAAAAAAGAATCCCCCATTGAATTTCTATGGAGCTAATACTTTTCATGTGTTTCTTTTTCCATTTCTGAAGTCAACTCCTTTACCATCCTAGAACCTCAATGACTAATATGTTCCCTATCGTTACCTATGATTGAAGTTCGAGGCTCGCATTTCCCGCAGGGAACGAAAAGAAGCAAAGCGAAGCGAAGCTATGACAAACAGGAAGCTCGTTCAACTTTCCACTTGATTCCATCATGAGGTCGGGAGTGAAGGACGACGGTCCACAACCTTCGCCTTTCAATATCTTGTCTCTCACAGATAAGCGGCAGTGTGCTGCATCTGCGGTGCGACGAAGTGCTCACTGTCCGGATCGCCTTTCCAACAGCAGCGATAACATCAAGATGCCGTGGGAAGGGAATATCGCTCGTTCTCCCTTGTATAAACCCCCTCCGGTCCCACAGGGCGTCACCCTCATCGAGTACTTGCTTACCAAAAACGATCGTCTGAGCCAATTCGGGGATCAGCCATATCTGGTAAGAGTCTCATCGTTCTTTACCAACTTTGACCATTAGAGGATAAAATGACCAGAAGGAGGAAGGGGAAAATGGAAATCGTCAATTGTTCCTTCATCATGTCGGTTGTGGGAATGTCATGTGCCATTTTAAACAAAGCGATCAGCTTCTTATTTCTTCACAAAATGACAGACTGATATCTGATAATCCAACGCCCGTGGTTGCTCGGATGAACATAATATCTCACAGCGACTCTCCATGCATGTTATCAGACAGTTGTCGGGACGGAGGAAGACAGCACCCTCACGTATTCATTGGTCGAGCCTCGAGTGAGGAGATGCGCGAGTGCATTGAGGAGACGGGGACTGCGGCGAGGGGATGTCGTCTGCTTCTATGCCCCCAATCACTTGGAGTATATTATGTGCAACCTTGGAGTGGTGGCATGTGGAGCCTCTGCTCTACTCGTTCCCTTCTATGCTGGAGGTTCCGATCCTTCTCCTACAAGTTGCTATTTCCAGGGCGGAGGAAGGAAAATATTTCGTCATATCGGAAGGACCCTGTACTCATGGTTCGACGAGACCGAAAACAATCATTATTGTAACAAAGTAGCTACTACTGAACAAGTCCGCAGATTTCCTGCCCTGTCCTCTTGGGTATTTCATTTGAATAATGAAAAGGAGCGGGAGGCTAAGAGAGGGGCTGGATTTCTTTCCATTAGTGACCTTTACTCAGCATGGGAGAGAATTTCATGGCATGGAATATACCGCGAGACCCCGTCCGCATTTCTCCGTCCTCTTCCTCTCTCTCATTAATCCAGAAAAGAATGATACACCTGCTAGAAATTAGTGGTGGGGTCCCATTATACCCCATACCGTGAGATGCTTAGGGCAATGGTAACAGATAAATTGAAATCTCTTCCTAGGGCCTGCGAATAGAAGCGAGGCGAGACTGCAGGCGATCTAAAACGGCATTTCAGTTTTTTATTCCTCTAATTCCCACTTAAATGGGCCTCCTTTCGCGATTGGGTAGGAGACGACGCGGAGTAACCGTATCAATGTCATCTCAATAGTCTGCACAAGTAACATAACCATACACCTTTTCTTACTCAGTACTCGCAAAACGGCTCTTTCTCAGTTCGTTCTGGCAAACCGGTCCCATCTTTTTTAGAACACCTGGAAACATTTTGCATGCGGGAAAAGCCTCGTTTTCTCTTCACGACGGCGGCTTTCTTCAACGAAGACGTTCGCGCTACGGTAAAGAAGTGCCCATCCATCGAGCAAGTCTTCACCTTCGATCCCTGCAATGACGACGGCGCCACCCCCGTCGCAGACTTCGACAAGGACGACGGAACAGGTAATCTCAATGAATCCTTTCGCAAAGCATAACCAGATCACTTTGCTAACTGTGTCGTTCAGAATTCCCAAACCAGGCCGAGTTGAGTCCATCGGACGTGGCCACCATCTTCCTATCTAGTGGGACGACAGGAGAACCGAAAGCGATCGACCACACGCACGCTTCCCTACTGGCTGCTCTCCAGTAAGAATACGTGTCTTTCCCTCCAACCCCTTCTCCCCTTGTCTTCACCCCATTCACGACAACTCAGTTTGTTCGTCATTCCATAGAGGCAACATTGAACAGACTCTGGTTGCAGTGACGCCTTATCATCTGGCGCACCTGAGCGGCTTCTTGGCCCACCTCATCCTCCTTCGACAGGGCGGTCATTGCATCATGGCTCCATCCGGAGACGTCTCGGCGCTGCTCTTTTCGGTCGAAAAGTACAAGGTCGAAGAGGATACTGGATAAAATTAATCTATATGTGGGGTGCATGAAAAGTTACATGCCCGAGGCACTTCCTATTGCAATACACCAATATTATTTTCCTGATGTATTTAATGGTGACCGGCAAATTTCATCTCACACGTCGATTAAATATAAGTTCGATTAATTTTTTCCCATGCGCTACAAAGGGATCTGCTGAAAGGGCATTAACATAGAGAAGAATGTTGTGATTAATTTTCTAGCCTGCAAGAAGTCGATTTTTCGGCAGATCTTTCAACAGCAGAGAGGATGAAATACTAGTGACCCTTCTTTGCCAGATCAGCTGGAAAATAGACACATTAGAGATAAGGAAATTCATGGCGGCATTATTCTCAATGTTAATACCCTTTCCGCAGATCCCTCGGTAGCAAATGGAAAAAAATTATTCCAACTTATATTTAATCGACGAATGAGATGCAAATTTGCCCGTCACCATCAGTCTTCTCATATGGAAAATGAGATTGGTATATTGCAATCGGAAGTGCCTCGGGATTAGATCTTTTCACACACCCTCGTAAGTCATTAGAATTGCTCCCATTGATATAGATTCGCTTGCAGGCGGCGGCTATGTGGTGCACTCCGAGGGAACTGGTTCGTCTGGCCAGAGATTCGGAACTGACTCGGAATTATCAATTGGGATCCCTTATTGCTCTCGCCTGTGGCGGGTCCCATCTTGGTGATGTCCTCTTAGACCAGATCCGCGAGAAACTCCCTCATATCAAGTTGCACTTCCAGGTTCCTTTCCCGCATCATTGGAATCCAGCATAGAGTATACGAGTACTTGGACGTGATTTTAGGGGTGAAAGTTTCGTTAATTTCGGGATCTCCCATTTTCTAATTACCCCCAAATGCTTCGCTGCGTTAACTCATTGTTATTCTGTCTCACATGCGGATAGAAATGCCGTTGTTAAATTGGATGAATCACGCTCGCATTCATTCAGATGTATGCAAGTACAGAATCCATCATGATCTCGGCGACGCCACTTGGCAGGGAGAGGAAGAGAGGATCCGTTGGAGAACTTACTCCAGCAGTTGAAGCCAAGGTCAATTGTTTTCCAAGTTCAGAATGATATGCTAGTAAATCTTTCCCTAAATTTTATTTTTTCTGATAGGTGGTGAAGCCCGGAACGTGGGAATGTGTGGGGCCGGGGGAAAGAGGGGAACTGTGCGTCCGCGTCCCATACCTCATGAAGGGATACCGGGGCAAGCCCGAGGTGAATTCCTGGAATTATTTGGAATTGGTGGATTTCCGATACGATTTTCTTTAATCGACTTCGTTTTATTGGCAAGCTGACGGAGGCAAGCGTACAAGAAGGATTCTATCGGACTGGGGATTACGGCTGGGTGGACGAAGACGGCTGGGTCTTCTTGGTAGATCGGGTGAAGGACCTCATCCCAGTGCTCGGATCCGACCAAACGACTGTCATCTATGTGAGTGTTCGAGAAGGAAAAGAAGTCGCTGCCTTAAGCCGTGTCTCTCGCACATGTCGAACGATCAGCAACAATGGGTTACCCAATGAATCTAATCAATAAAACTAAAATACAAGATGCTTGCCCCCCCCCCCCCGAATGTTCCTTGGCAATATGAGAAAGCTTCATTTATCGCACATCGGGTTTTTAGAGGGTGTCTAGAATGTTGCCGTGGTTGCCTTTTTGAGTGAAAATTACAAATAGACTTCAGTAACTAAGTGAAAATATGGACAAACGTGGATATACATGGAGCATTTCCAATGTCCAGCTTCTCTTCCTTTACTGAAGTTAGAAAAAGAAGACGGGACTACTCTGGGTTTCCTGGATTTCTCTTTCCTTCTTTCACTCGTGCTGATGCAGGTATCCCCGTCGGAGATCGAGGACTGCCTGTACGAACACCAGGGCGTGCTGAAGGTGGGTGTGGCGGGGGTGCCCCACCCCGAACCTGATCATCATCAGATCCCGAAGGCCTTCGTCGTCCCTGTTTTCCCTGGTTGCCTTACAGAACAAGACCTCAAGGACTTCGTTTCCAGTAAGCTCTCCCTTCATCTCATCTCGTGCTCAGCTAGGAATTCAATTTCATTCTTGGTTGCTCAGGCCGACTGAGTGCCGAGTGCCAGTTGGAAGGGGGAGTCACGTTCGTGGACGACATCCCCATGTCCATGGCCGGCAAGATCCAACGCAACGTGCTTCAAAGCCTTTGATGGTCCTGTCAATCCTACGCACCAAAAATGTACATGGGCTAACCCATGATGACCTCGTATTCGAGTTATTGTCCTTCACCCCTACGTTATTTGATCATGGAAAAATCATTAACAAGTTTTTAACGTACGTTTCTTTCTATCTCATCAAATAAAATGATGAAGAATGTGGAGAAGCCCTAAGTCAAGCCATCAAATTGAGCCATCTGTGAATACCAAGTTGGCGAATCGTCAATCGACGAGTTGAACATGGGCGAGTTGTAGTCGAAATTCGTCGTGGAAATTAAATTCCACGAGTTGTCACTCAGCGAAATGTTCAGTAACTTATGTGGGGCGCAGCACATTTCTCGCAAAAGGTTCAAATGTGGCCCACACACATACAGTACAGTATTTGCGTGGAATCTCGTCGAAAGCCGACTGTCTCTTTGAAAACCATTAATTCAAAGCTTCGTTAATGCAACCTAGAACCGCATTAGCGATAAGGCGGGGTGCTATTCTGATATCAACTTGGCGTCGTTATTTTCTGGATTCTAGTATTTGTCAAAATCTGCAAACATATATTTGCCCGAGTTTTTCACCCCTAACGGGTTAGGGTAACCTCGGATCACTTTGTGGCCAATCACACACGCTTTTACATGAGGTGCTCTATCAAACGACACCGGTTTCGTCGCGGCACGCGATCTGGCGGAAAACGGCCATCCCCCTTTGAATCGGTGACACTGACGAGGCGAATGTTCCGCCGTGTTTACGATGGTGAAACAATTCATGAAAACACTCTTTCCAACATTTTCACAAAATTCAAACAATATGGAAGCGTGGAAAGCAACCGGTTCAAACTGAAACAGTCGCAGACGGAATTGAAACAATAGTCGGTAGCCCGAGCGAAAGTACGGAAGAATTTGAAGGTAATGAACGCCAGCATGGCTACAGGAGGGGTGGGGAGTTTGGGGGTGGGGGTGAGGGGGTGGATGCCTTCTAAGGAAGCTCATTCGTGTGGACGGTGACTTCACTTGAGAGGAAAACGTCGAAAATGTATGTGAGACCATAGTAGCATTTAGTTCATGCGAGATGGAGACCCCCCCCCCCCCCCCCCCTCCCCCCCCCCCCCCCCCCCCGTCAACCCCGCCTATTGGATCCTCCACTGGCTGGTCACATGAGAAGACAAGGCGCGGCCAAAAAACCCCCTAAATTCTCGAAGGTCTGCCCCTTCACTTTGTCAACCGTCATGGTAAAGGACGTAGGAACTGACGCCGAGTGAAAACGGACAACCCAAAGTTCGAGACCCTAACTTTGAATCGTCTCTCTCCAGGATAACGTGACATGCGACCTCCCATCGGCGGCCTCACGCCGCTCTGCGGGCAACCGCAATCCGCCGCGTCCGTTTCCGAACTACAGTGGCCTTCGGGCGTGCGGCGTCATCTAATTACTATGACTATGGGAGGGCACACGCTATCGCACTGTGCGCACGCGTGCGCCGTTTGTGTGCGCGCATGTCACCGCGGACACCACGGACCACAGTAGATTTTACTATACAGACTTATCCGGGAAGAAGTATCAGCGATTTTTGCAGTAACTGTTTGTAAAGTGTGGGATGATTGTAAAACACGCCTACAGTTTTGTATTGGCGAGAATGGTGCTCAAATTGAACATTTGTAAATTTGTTGATGGCCCAGATAGGAACATTTTATTTTCATGGCAATAGCATGCATATGTTAACCAATATTGTCGATGATACTGTCACGGTAAAGGAGTAAATACCTGTGACCCCGGCATGAGGGGGGGGGGGATCGACCCCTGACCTATACCATCGGCCTAAGTCACTAGATGTCGCTAGCGCGCCCCCGTGATTGTATATAGTGGACATACATGAAACTTAAAGTTAAAATTACAACTCGGAATGAAATAACCCGGGAAGCCTCTAGTGACCCTAGGCTGGTAGTTGAAAATTGGAGTGTAAGTTTCCTGCTTCCATAGCCTTAAAGGACATCAGATCCCGTATATGATGGCCTCGCGGTCCCTAGGGGGCTTGCCCACTCGAGGACACATGTCATCCCCCAACTTCTTATATTCAGAGTTATCTGATCGGGATCACTTATCCTCCCGTCTTGAAGTCTCCACCACCACGTGGTCAAGTAGTGGATTGCTAGTGGAGGACCAGGCGCGACTCATCCCCTGAAGAGGTACGCACGGACCGGTATGGATTATCATAATCCTAGTTCTCCCGCTAAAATGAGGAGGTCTGAGTGGGATTGGGGATATCGATTAAGATTTCAACGTCCTTGAGTGGAATGGGCGAGTGAAGGAGGCAGAAGGTGACGTGTTAAGGGTTGGGGACCAGGGTTGCCAGATGGTTCTGTGAAGTGATCACTACCCTTACGCGAGGAAATATCGCGAATGAAGGAAAAACAATAATTCTGATACCATACCTGTAGCATAACGAGTTCTCACATATCGATCGTTCCCACGATCCTGTAAAATACATAATAACGGTCATTTCATTTTCAGGACTCTAGGAATTATTCATTGCTTTGTGCAAAAACTAGTCAGGTTGCCAACCGTCGAGGTACTATTGGCAATGGCACAGTGATGTCCTTGCCCAAAATTGCCTCATTTGACAACCTTGGTTGTCATTTGACTGTCAGGCATTCTGATTCTGATTCCAGTGATGTATTCTAATTCCACTGACTACAAACGAAATCGATGAGGATAGAACCCCGAAATAGCACAACAAGAAACCACCACCAGCTTTTGCATCTCCACACCATTAATCTAGACGCGTCACCTTATGTTGCAGTTATGTTATGTTCCTGCACCAGGACTAAAAATCAATCGCAGATGCTTACAATCTTAAAACGGGAGGAAGATAGGGGAGTGATAAAGCGGCTCGCCGATTGTAGCATGGCTGCCGGTAATTGAGCTACCGATTGGTTTCATCTGTAAGGGGGAATGAAGAAAAGCGGCCGGGTGGGGGCGAAGACTTCGGAAACCCCGAGCTTACAGGTCTTAACGGCCTTAGAGACCTTAATGGCCTTAGAGGCCGGCGGGCGGGCCCAATTTAAAAGCTATGCCCTGGAGCGAAGAAACTCCAAAGAAGGTCCTACCTTGGCATTCACATCCGACCCCGCGTTGAGAACCACATTCCGAATGGCAATAAACGACCCTCATTAAGGTGGGGTTTTGAGCCCTTTAACTTGACTGGAGATGTGCCCGTCATGGAAGAGAAATACAGGTTTTTATTATTGCTACCGAATCCCTTGTGATCTTGTTTCCCCCCGAACCCCACAACGGACTGCAACACCGTAACACCGTAACAATACTATCATCGGAGACAATGGAGTGCAAAAAAAAATTGCCGTTAAGCACAGTAGCTTTCCAGAAGTACGACAGATCTGGAAAAGTATCGTCGAGTGTGCTGAAAATGGCGCATGATCGGAGTGCCAACCGTTCGTCGACGAACCGATCGGTCACCTCACTTCAATGGAATCTGAGTTGTCGCCCTTCGATTTTGATGAACAATCGACTTCCATTTCTATCGAATTTCGTATGGGGAATCATCGAACGACGATCGAAAAAACGTGGAACGCGGTTCGTGAACCTGGACTCTCCGATAAACCATGCCGTCATCCGATCACATAGGCGGCAGTCGCTCGATCGGATCTACATGGATGAAGTCCTTGACCCTATCCAGCGTGAAGACTCAGTCGTCCTCGTCCACAAAGTCGCAATTCCCAGTCTTATAGGATCCTTCTTCCACGCTCGCCTACATAAGCTTCTCAAGGAAATAACAAGAAAAAACAAGGGGGATAACAGGAAATCTCTGAAATCCGTGGAATGAAGATTTCATGGGATTTACCTCGCGCCGGCTCCGGTATCCTTTCTTAAGAAGGGCGTACGATAAAACAGTTCCACAACAATAACACATATAATAAATAAATGATAAAACAGCGGCTTCCGAGGATCTTTGCCGAAGTGGTTTTCGACACCACGACTCAAAAAAAGAATAGTCAGTTGCATCATCCCATCGAGAGCCAAGCCGAGTCATACTCGAGTGGTGGTGTAACACGATGGGCCATTCATGAATTGGGGACCTCCCATATCTCTCTTTAAATCTGTACTTGTGGGAGATCAGCTGATATCCGACAAGAGGGAAGACGGGGGAGGGGCTGGTGTGCTCCTCTCCCGCTCTCGCTTCTTGGTGCCTTCTCGGTACGGGTGTTCGCATGGGTAAACGACAGCAGAGTTTCTTCTCTTAGTCTATCTCATAAACAGAACTAAAAAAAAAATTCCCCATTGAATTTCTATAGATCTAATATTTTTCCATGTATCTATTCCTTTCGTTTCCAGAGTCAATTCCATCACTGACCTACGACTTAGAATATGAGTCTGATGTTCCCAACCGTTACCTATGATACCTATGATTGAAGTCCGAGACTCGCATTTCCTGCAAGGAATGAAGAGAAGCAACGCGAGGCTCTGCTGTGACACACAGGGAGCTCGTTCGGGTTTCCACTTGATACAATCACGAAGTCCGAAGTCCAGGACGACGGTCATTGACCTTCCCATTCTAAGATCTTATTTCTCATAGATAAGCCAGTCCTTGTGCTGGATTTGCGGTGCGAGGAAGTGCTCACTGTCCGGATAGACTTCCCAACAGCAGTGATAGCATCAAGATGCCGTGGGAAGGGAATATCGCTCGTTCTCCCTTGTATAATCCCCCTTCTGTCCCACAGGGCGTCACCCTCATCGAGCAATTGATTATCAAGAACGATCGTCTGCGCCAATTGGGGGATCAGCCATATCTGGTAAGAGTCGTATCGTTCCTAACTAACTAATAGCGTCAGGGGATAAACTGACACGAAGTAGGAGGAAATAAATCGAAACCTCTAACTGTCCCTTGATCATGTCGGTTGTAGGAAAGAGGTCAAGTGCGATTTCAAACGAAGAGACCAGCTTCTTATTTCTTCACAAAATGAAAGACTGATACCAGATAAGCCAACTCCAGTGGTTACTCGGATAATCATATTATCTCACGGTGACTCTCTATCCATGTTATCAGACAGTTGTCGGGACAGAGGAAGACAGCACCCTCACGTTCTCATCGGTCGAGCCTCGAGTGAGGAGATGCGCGAGTGCATTGAGGAGACGGGGACTGCGGCGAGGGGATGTCGTCTGCTTCTATGCCCCCAATCACTTGGAGTATGTCGTCTGCAACCTTGGGGTGGTGGCATGTGGAGCCTCTGCTCTCCTCGTTCCCTTCTATGCGGGAGGTTCTGCTCCTTCTCGTCCAAGTTGCTATTTCCAGGCCAGAGGAAGGGAAATATGTCGAAATATCGGAATGACACCGTGATGATGATTCGACGAGACCAAAAACAATAATTAGTGTTATGAAGTAGCTACTGCTAGACTGGTTTGAGCAAGTCTACAGATTTTCCGCCCTGTCCTCTTAGGTAATTCGCTTCAATAAAAAAAGGAGCGAGAGATTAAGAGAGGGGCTGGATTTATTTCCATTAGTGACCTTTACTCAGCATGGGAGAGATGTATCTCATGGCATGGGAGATACCCCGTGACCAGTCCCCATTTTTTTGTCCTCTTCCTTTCTCTCATTTATCCAGAAATGGATGATACACCTGCTAGAAAATAGTGGTGGGGTCCCATTATTCCCCATACCATGAGAGGGTTAAAGCAATGGCCACAGATGGATCGAAATCCTCCCCTAGGGCCTGAATAGGAGCGAGACGCAGCTGTCGGCGACCTAAAGAGCCATATCAGCTTTTCATTCTTTCATTTCCCACTTAAGTGCGCCTCCTTTCGTGATTGCAAGGTGACCACACGGACGATCAATGTCGTGTCAATCGTCTCCAGATGTAACATGACCATTCAATTTTTCTTACTCAGCCCTGGGAAAACGGCTCTTCCTCTAGCATCTCTCTTAACTCGTTCTGACAAACCGGTCCCATCTATTTCAGAACATCTCGCAACATTTTGCATGCGGGAAAAGCCTCGTTTTCTCTTCACGACGGCGGCTTTCTTCAACGAAGACGTTCGCGCTACGGTAAAGAAGTGCCCATCCATCGAGCAAGTCTTCACCTTCGATCCCTGCAATGACGACGGCGCCACCCCCGTCGCAGACTTCGACAAGGACGACGGAACAGGTAATCTCAATGAATCCTTTCGCAAAGCATAACCAGATCACTTTGCTAACTGTGTCGTTCAGAATTCCCAAACCAGGCCGACTTGAGTCCATCGGACGTGGCCACCATCTTTCTCTCAAGCGGGACGACGGGAGAGCCGAAAGGGATTGAGCATACCCACGCTTCCCTTCTGGCTGTCATCCAGTAAGAATCCATGTCTTCCCCCACCCCCTTCCTCCTCTTGCCTATGCCCCGATCGCGAGGACTCAGTTTTCTTCTCATATCATAGGAGCAGCATGGAACAGGCTTCGGTTGGAGTGACACCTTTTCATCTGGCGCACATGAGTGGCTACTTTACCCACATCCTCCGTCTCCAGCACGGTGGGCATTGCGTCATGGCCCCTTCCGGAGAACTCTTGTCTCTGCTCGCTTCGGTCGAGAAGTACAAGGTCGAAGAGGATAATGGAATATTTCATTAATTCATATCATTAGACTTGCGTCCATTCATGTCGATTCGTTCTTAGGCGGCGGCTATGTGGTGCACGCCGAGGGAACTGGTTCCATTGGCCAGAGATCCAGAACTGACGCGGTATTACCAGTTGGGATCGCTTGTTGCTATCGCCTACGGCGGGTCCCATCTTGGTGATGGCCTCGTCGACCAGATCCGCAAGAAACTCCCTCACATCAATTTTATCATCCAGGTTGCTTTCCCGCTTCTTTAGAGTCCAGTTAAATGTGATATTGGGATTAGAGCTTAGGTAATGTGGGATGCTTCCATTTTCAAGCTACCCACTTGTTCTTCGCGGCATTAATGCAGTATTATTCTTTCTGATATTTGGATGAAACTGCCAATATTAAGTGACAGGTGTTGATTCCTTTCAAGAACAAACTGATATAATAAATTTCTCTTTTAAAAATTTAATTCAAGCTCATAAAAATTAAGCTTTCCATAAGCATCATGAGTGGATGTAGCTACTTCTTGGTTTCAGCTCAACATTTGGCAGTATACTACGTAACAACAGCGAATTCAATATTGTTTCAGTTTCCCTATATTCAGTACTGAATTCTAGACAACTCTTTCCGGAGTTCCCCCAAGACTGTCAAGGGAAAGTTGAATGATCAGTCCTGCACAATACCCTGTTGCCGCTCAGTTTTATTTACTGGTGTATTACTGATCATGTGCTGAATGAATTTGCTAGAGGATATGGCTCATTCAGGCGCCTTCACCTTCGTGTTCCAGTGTCTGCTTTAAACAGGGTGATTGCCAGACGCTGGACGAATTTTTTTTTTAATTCCAACTGAAATGGACTTTGAACAGAGGAATGAAACACGCTACGGATTTTAGCCAATAGTCTCCAAGAGCCAATAGTCTGCAGTTCTTGTTTTACCTGGGCTCGTATTTGGTTTGTATGAATCGAGTGCGTGTTGGAGAAGTTCTTTTATATTAGAGACAGTGAATTAAGTTCCATTCCACCAAGAGGCCGAATTATGTTTGGATTATTGTATTCGTTTCTTCAAATAACTACCACGCTCGAATTACTATCACGCTCATACAGATGTATGGGAGCACGGAATCCATCATGATCGCGACGACGCCACTCGGTAGGGAAAGGAAGAAAGGATCCGTTGGACAACTTTCTCCAGCAGTTGAAGCTAAGGTCGATTTTTTTCTTCCAAAGTTCACCAAGATATGCTGGGAAATTATTTTTCCGAATTCATGATTTTTTTCTGATAGGTGGTGAAGCCCGGAACGTGGGAATGTGTGGGTCCGGAGGAACGAGGGGAATTGTGTGTCCGCGTCCCTTACCTCATGAAAGGATACCGGGGCAAGCCCGAGGTGAATTCCAATTTCCAAGAAATCATGAATTTCGAAAGTGTGTTTGAAATTGTGAAAATACGAATTCCTTTCATCAATTTTGTTTGCCTGGCAAGCTGACGGAGGCAAGCGTACAAGAAGGATTCTATCGGACTGGGGATTACGGCTGGGTGGACGAGGACGGCTGGGTCTTCCTGCTGGATCGGGTGAAGGACCTCATCCCAGTGCTCGGATCCGACCAAACGTCTGTAACCTATGTGAGTGTTCGACAAGGAAAAGAAGTCGCTGCCCTAAGCCGTGTCCCTCGCACATGTCGAACGATGAGCAACAATGGGTTACCCAATGAATCTAATCAGTAATACTAAAATAAAAGAGACTTGCCTCCCCCCCTCCCCCCCTGAATGTTCCTTGGCAATACGAGAAAGCTTCACTTATCACACATTGTGTTTTTCGAGGGTGTCTAGAAGAATGTTGCTGTGGTTGCCTTTTTGAGTGAAAATTACAAATTGACTTCAGTAGCTGAGTGAAAATATGGACGAACGTCTAGATACTTGGAACATTCCCCACGTCCAGCTTCTCTTCCCCTTACCTTCACTGAACATGCAAGAAGGAAGACAAGAGTTCCCTGGGCTTGCTAGATCTCACTTCTTCTCTCACTCGTGCTGATGCAGGTATCCCCGTCGGAGATCGAGGACTGCCTGTTCGAACACCAGGGCGTGATGACGGTGGGTGTGGTGGGGGTGCCCCACCCAGAACCCAATCACCATCAGATCCCAAAGGCCTTCGTCGTCCCTGTCCTACATGGCTCCCTAACAGTACAAGACCTCAAGGACTTCGTTTCCAGTAAGCTCTCCCTTCATCTCATCTCGTGCTCAGCTAGGAATTCAATTTCGTTTTGATTCCCCAGGCCGACTGAGTGCCGAGTGCCAGTTGGAAGGGGGAGTCACGTTCGTGGACGACATCCCCATGTCCATGGCCGGCAAAATCCAACGCAACATTCTTCAAAGCCTCTGATGGTCCTGTCAATTCTACTCGCCAGAAATATACACGGGCTTACGCATGATAACCTCGTATTCGAATTACTGTCCTTTACATCATTCGATAATTGAAAATTCTTTAAAGAATTGTTAAGCTATGTTTATTTCTATATATCAAAGGGAAATATACAGAAGGAAGAAAAATTGATGATAATTAGACTTCACCTTCAAAGGGTTATTTCTCAAGAGAACTTGAAAAATGCTCATTGGGTGGCATTGGTTGCTATTCCATCGCTGCGTTTCAGGGAGGGTATTCATGCCCCATGTTACTGTTCATGTTCGAGCGATCTCAGTTATCAAACGGAAGCCTATTCTTTGAAAGTGATATTTCAAGATTTTAAAGGTATGAAGGAAGATATGAATAATTGAATTAAACTTTTCATCCTCCTTCCTCTTTGCACGTCTCGTACGGAAAATAATAAAGGTGAGATCCCGCACCCTTAAAGGTGTTCATGCATTTTCTCACCCTGGGGGGTGAGAATGCTCACCGTGGTGTCCAGCACCCTTCATGGTTGCACGGCCACCCTCGGGTGCAAATGCCTCACCCTCTTTTCAATATATCATCAATTTCTTTATAGGTAGCACACTCCCTTCGGCATCACCCACAGGCGATATATTTATTCCCTTGGGAAATATATTCAAGGTCACCGTCTATTCTCACTCCTGCTGTCCTAACTGGAGGCGACACTCCGAGGGGTAGGAGAGGATCGAAATATTATAGAGACATCTAGTGGCTTGTTATCAGCATCACTTCCACGAGGCGTGTTTCGTGGCAGCGATACCGGGAATCTACTCGTTCAGGGATTCGACCCAAAGGGATCCCTCAATATAACACGCGTGTCTCGTTGAGTCCGATGTTCGGCCATGGAGGATTTGTTGATGTGCGTACGTTAGGTGGAGGATCGACAATGGAATTGAATGGGATTACACTCTATTACATGTGTTACACTCTGTTCATACTCTCATTTCCTAACACAATCCTCTGCATGTTTAGTGCACGCTCCTACCCGAGCGACCATACCTTTTCTCAAAGAAACAGATACTGATGATAAAGAATTCGAATGATGTTTTTCTGTGGGAACTCACTTCATAATTTCTCCAAGTTGGCGTCGTGGGTTTGTCCTGAGGCCTGATTCCCTCTTCTTTCTTCCTTCGGGCCAGCATTGCCAGACGTCTCCCTGGGCTGACTCTCATCTTTAGATACTAATGTCGTGGGATTCTAATGCATTCCGCTTTGCCGTAAGAAGGGGAAAAAAAATCTGGTACTGTATATACGAAATCCCAAAGGCGTGACTTAGTTTCTTTACAGGCAAAAACTGGGTTGGCGACTGAGGTACCATCTTACCTCGCTAATGGCAACCTTACCTTACATGAATAGCCTGCTGCTTCGTATAATGAAAGCGAGAAGTCAAAAGGGTAGCATGCTAATCAGGTTACTGAATATGCTCGCAATGCACGGGCCTTCCGCTGGGAACCTTTGGAACCTGCTAAACCAAGCCTCCGGATATGATGGGAAACGAGATATGGCGACGACAAGATTTCATCTTCGGTTAACGCCCTCCTTTGCAAGAATTGACTTAGGGGTGGGGGTGGTGCGGGTTCTGCCTCGGGGCTCCTCAAACCTACATCCGACCCTGCTTTTATGGTCGAGCCGGAGCACCCCCTGAGGTGAGGATTAGCCTGATGGGGTCATCCCTCAGGGAGGGGTGAGCATGACCTGAGATGGGTGAGCAAAGTGGGGTGAGCATGACTCCACACATTCAGTTGAAAAGAATATTGCATACCCGACGGTGCTCACTAGCACCCACCTGATACGTGTAGTAGGGAGAGCCTGCACATCCTTAAAAGTGCTATGCGAGCCTCTTTTGGAGGGAATGAGAGCACAAGTGCGAATGCGCCTCCAAATGCATGCACACCCATTTTTCGATCATCGCACACCTTGCTCTCACCCTTATTATTTGCTGTGCACGAAAGTGAATATTGTTTCCAATGGCTCAAAAATAATGGAACAGTTCTTCCGAATCAGATTAGGAGTTGAATTCGACTTCTAATGAACCAATTTGCTATCGTTCCGAAAAAAAAAACATTCAGTGCAAGCTTCTTTCACGCAGAAATGAGCAAGGACGGAAGAGAAACTGGGCAGTTGCCATTGAATAATCAAATAATCCTTTCCAAAATCGGATTTTCCTGTTGAACGAGCCGGTAAAATGGTTGCCATCGATTCGAGTCGATCGTGTACAAAATGGAAGGTGTTGACATACGGCTTCCAAGACCGTGAGCGAGGCGTTCGATTGAGGCAAAATGAGGGGGAAATGGGAGAATAATAGACGTGGCTGTTTTCGGTTCTCGAACCTCGTAGTGTCTTTCCATCCGGTCGGGATTTTCTCTCTCCTTTTCCTTAGAGTTCACATTTCCCACGTTCATATACGTATTTCTTTCGTAGCTTTCGCCTCTGCTTCATGCGCCCACGAATTCTCGATTCGCGTATTTACATTCCATTTCCATCGCGTGAGTGCATCAACTAAAGTGTCGAATGCCAAGAAGTGGATTATCATATTTCGCCCACCCGAATACGTGACAAGCCTATTCAAGGCACTGAAAACAAGTCCGGCACTCAATGCAGAAAAGGGAGCAAAATATTCAGGAGAGGGGGCAACAAACGTAAAACGAATTTGCTTCATCATATCCCTGCCCTTGTTCGCCGAGAACCACCGCAACCGCAGCGTCCAACGCCACAAACGCGCCTGCGACAGCCTCCGCCTGAAGGCACTCGAGAAAAACCGAAGTCCCAGCCGGTCGCAGCTGGGACTCACATCCAGCACCGCCAGGAGCCGGTCGATCTCGTCGGTCACCCCGGACACGTCCGTCAGAAAGTCCAATTCCGCGAACACGAATACAGCCATTTTTTCGAAGAAAAATTGAAGTGGACTAGCTAGTCTATTTTACATAGATACGAAGTACCAAACAATCATAGCTCAAGGAATGATGAAGACTATTTTCTGAAAACTCCTATGTCGAACGTTTGTTCACAAAAAAAAAATTATTGGTTCCTGAACACCATGCTGATGATACCAAACATGGTAAACACCAAACATGTTTAATCAGAAAAAGCAAAGTTCATTTCCTCAAATGAAACTCAAATTTTCTTCCTGGAAAACGCCTTGTCGTCAGACTCTTTCTATTTGAGAACCAAAGTTGAGAAAGCCTCCATCACGAATGAAATGTTCCATTTTCATCGAGTCTAATTTGGGCCTCAATTTTTTTTACGACATATCATATACAGTATTTATTGAGACTATCCACATAGCTTTTAAGATGAGATGAAACTCCATGAAATCTTTTCCCACTTACAAAGCGACTCATTTGGGCTCTGTCTATTTCACGTGTTATTTTCACATTTACCCTCTCAGCCAGCTATTCTTTCTTTGTCCTATAATTTCCAGGGCAATCCGCACCATTCAAAACTACTTAGGATGATACAGGCGGTCAAAGGCCAAAGAAGGAAGATCGTAAACTTTTTGAAAGCTATTGAACATAAAAAAAGGAGGCGTGGAATATGTGCTGAGAAAAAAATATTTAAAAAATGTAATGCATTAAAAGGAGCTGATTTCCAGTCATGTGTGACGATTTCAGTCTCGAATTTCGAAAGACAACTTTCAGAGAAGCTAAGAGTCAGGAGGAGTCAAGAGGAGTCAGGAGGAACCATGAGGAGCCAGAAGGAGCCCGCATGACTCAAATGGCATTCGGCGACGCCGACGTTCCAGGCCGTGCTATTCCGCTTCGTGCATTATTCCAACCTGGGTTTAAAGTGTCGATTACTCACTAAGCACCGAAAAACTCAATTTGGTACACCAATTACTAATTGCGTTTCCGAGGAAAAAACTCGCATGCCTCCAAATAAACCATCATGCTGTCCTATTATGGCTGAACTGCCAATTGCCACCATCCGTAAAAAAAAAAAAAAAACAATTTCATGGATCCAATGAGGCTGGCAGATTGGAGTATGAGAAGAATCTCCATATATTCCCCAATCGATGAGCCACCGGACCCGATAGGTTCTCTGCTGCCTCAGCGCGTTCTTCTCAGCCACCATTATTTTCGGCATCGTTCGGTATCGCTTAGGGGGGAAAAACACAGAATGCCGGTATCCCGGCCTCATCCGGTCGCTAGAATCGGAACGTTTGCTTCGTCAGTCGTCCCCCTTCCCACAAAATGGACTTTCCCCTTTTCTTTGAACCGCTATCGTATGGCGGAACACCAAATTACATGGCGGCGTTCAGCACGATGAGGCGGTGTGTGGTGGCGGCTACCCGGCGTGAAGATGTTATTATTTCTCAATTTGTATACCCTGTATTTTATTTAATTATTTGTCATTATGCTTTAATTACGCCTCACGAAATTTCAAAGGACCATTAATTTTGTTAGTTTTTTCGACCCTTGAGGCCCGCATTCGCTCAGAGAGGCTGGCTCGTTCGTGTTCATTCCGAATCTGATCTCTCTTTCATTATTTTTTATTATTTTTATTTTATTTTTTGCGATACGGCAAATATCAGCCGATAAAATTCAAATTCATTCAATATGGGGTTCATTCGCGCTAAAGATTGTAACTTTGATACGCGGTCGGAGTTGACGAAGCAGCGGAGAATCAGCAGCAATTTTCAGCCGATCGACACGCAGTTGACAACCAATCGACCAACAAACGACACGCATTCGACCACAATTTCGACATATCCTTTGCAGGCTTCGTAGTGCTAACTCAGTTTCTCATTCGCTTTCGGCATGGCCTTAATGTTACTTTAGCATTCATCTACATTGTCGGAAATGGAAATAGGAACTACCAACCGAAGCGAGATGGCGCCAAATCGCCAACATTTGGCGATTCTCACCCCGACGCACAGGAACGAGTACTTTCCTGTACTTTCTTCTCAGTACCGGATCTACTCCCGGATGCAACTCTCGAGAAGGCATAGGAATTCCTAGATGGATTCGTTGAAATCCGGTGGAAGGAGACTCCAA